GGCGGCTCCGGCTGCTGAGTAAGCACCGAGGAGGGCCCCTCTCAATCCCTCAACGCCGATGCACCCGCCTCCTGTGCGTAGTAACGCGAGCGGGAACACCACCGCACGTGGACTCTGCAGAATGCCTGGGTTTGGCCTTTGCTTCATCTCCCTTCACCTCCACCCCAGGCTCCTGACGGTCCCCTGCGCTGCCGGTTGCTCTCTCACCACCTCTTTCTGCTTCCCCCAGCATCACAGAAATATCCCCCCGGGCAGCGGATTTCGAGTTTTTCTTCTCTTACCATGGACTCCATCCCAGACCCAGACCCCACCATCTACCGCACAGCTGGGCAGGAAAGGTGCCAAACTTTTCTGCACCTTGCAGCGACACTGGGGCACAGGGAAGGGAAGACCACAGTGGCCCAGGAGTTGCTTTTAGCCCGTCCCAATTTCGCTGGCAGAGCTGCCTGCTCCTCTGAACAAGTCACAGCAGTCCCAGGCTGATGGCAAGCAGATGCTTTCCCTGCTGCCCCAGCAGAAGCTTCCCTGCAGTCGCACTGCACAAGCGATCCGTGGCTCTGCCTGCCTCAGGCGCTCAGTCCAGCCCTGTCTCCCTTCCATCGTGAGGACACTCGTGCCCAGCATCTGCCCTGCAAGCAGTATATTCCAGCCCGGGTGCTTCTTCCCCCCATCTTTTGCCCAGAAAACAAGGACTGAGGCTTCTGGAGCTCAGACAGAAGCAAACCTCAGATGGGAGCCTCGGGATGGGGTTAAACCGCAGAGGCTGAAGCGCTGTCAGATGGCACCTCCAAGCATCTGCTAAAAAAGAAGGATTTGCAGCTGCTCTGCAGTTGGGAACTACCCCCCAGAGCCACCCCACGGAGACTGGGAACCCTGCTACGTATGAATTCCTGCCCTAAAGGCTGTTGGGTGAACATCAATTCAACAAGAACGCAAGAGCAGCTTGAAAGTCTGTTCAGGTAACAGCGAGGTAACTCTCAGTGCCCAGACTCACCCCTAATGACAGTGTACAGGCCCCCGAAACACCCCCGAAGGGAAGCAGCCCTCTGCCAGACCGGAAAGACAGTCAAAATCCCAGTCTGCCAAACACCTGCAGCACATCCTTAATGCAGCTACGTCAGTTTGCAAACAGCAAATGAGTAATAATTACTAGGAATACGGAGAATTGATTCATGGCTGACTAAAGCATTAATGCAAACAAGAATATCTGGGTGGGGGGATGAGCAGTCTGTGAAGTTCGAGGGAACTCCGACATTGAAATGTTCTTCAGTTCTAACGAGACAGATTAGAAAGCAGGAACAGTACGTGAAACTGGTGTTTTTAGTGTCAGGCGGACATTTCTAATAAAAGTTTTGAGACTGGTTAGCAACCTCTCCAAGTAAACAAAGAGCTAAAGTAACAGTCAAAAAAAGCAGGTGAGGCGTTGCTCCTAGTAGTACAGACAGACAAGAGCGTAACACCCATTACAGAATCACGGCCTGCTTAAGTCAGCGTTTGAGATCCTGCAAGAGCAAGCGCTCTCAAAAGCAGCCCTTGTCAACAGTCCCAACACGGGCTGATGGACTAGCCAAAACTCTTCCGTTCACCCTGCATCAAGGTTTCTCAATCTGACATGCTGTGTCTCAAGAGATGGTTCCCAGGAAGAAACTAAAAGCTGTACCTAGGCCTTCAAGTATATAAACAGAGTGAACCATCCTTTGCATCTAAGGTTTGTCCTAGGTTTTATCTGGTGGTAAATAAAAACCACTAGACCAGTTCTGCACAAGATGATCAGCAGATTAGTTTTTACAAAAAAGGGGAGGCAGCCCTCGGGTGTTTTTTAAAAGGTAAGCGGTTAGTTAGGGCTGAGAAATGTTGCCCTACGTAACATGCTTTCCCAAAGGCAATAAAGTCTGGAAAAATCTTGAACCTGAACAATTGCTTTGAAAACTAAACCAAAGCATACAGTACTCCAAAAACAAGAAGTGTGTTGCAACAAACCAACAATGTACCAAGTACAACGCCACTTCCTCCTACCCAAGAGTAAAAGCCTGAAAGCCATTCCTATGCCAGAATGCCAGTTCATTTAGCGGTTACCTTACCCTGTACCACGCTCCTCACTCAGACTTCAACCCTTAGGAGACAAACTTCACTCCTAAGTAGGAAGCATACAGGCAAAAACTCAATACAGAATGTTTTTCAATTCTTTATCAGCATAGCTTATATTTACCTTTTCCATATGAAACTGAAGTGTCAGGAGCCACCCAAGACGGCACAGCCAAGTGCACAACTGCATTTGCTTTCTTTCTCTACTCTCAATTTCTGACTCACATTTAAACACTAGAATTTTAATCCAGCAAGAGCACGCTTTGCAATAGCTTCCTTTTTAAAAAGGCAACAAAAATAAAGCACTGAACGCATCGTACCATCCTCACTCCTTGATCTCGCAAATGTGCTTGGGCAAGTAGCAACCATTCCCCCAAACCCAGCAGCTTGGTTTTATCTCTTGGTCGACTATACCCACTTCTCTCATTACTTCTGTGCATCAACAGAAGGTGCACCAAGCGCATCGGGCCAGACGGTAACACGCCTGGCACATCAAACCGGGGGAATTAACCCTGGAAGAGCTTTAAAGATGGGGCAGCTCGGCCCTGTTGGCCCCTGGGCATGGCAGGAGGTGCCTGCTGCGGCCACAATCTCTCCTGGACTGCAGAGTTGGAACAGCAAGGCAGAACTGCGGGAGAGGGGATGAGGCAGCTCCCGGACCTTACAGTAACACAAATCGCTGAAACATCCGACGAGAGGCACCCGGGTGGTTAGGGGAGAACTGCTCCCTCAGCTGGAACACCTTTATAGCTAGGGGCTGGGAGAGAATACAGTTAAGAAGGCAAGGCAGAGGATATGGGGTTTGCTCAGCGGGCAGAAGTCACCCTCCGGGTCCTTTTCCTCCGGGCACCTCCCAGCAGACTTTTGGATGCTCGGAGAGGAGCCCAGGCACCCGCACACACTAACACACACACACCCCCCCCCCGTGGAAAACCCCACGCCCCCCGGGGCAGAGCCCACCTGGCAGAAGCAGCGTCTCTCCGCCGCGCCGGGCGATCCGCGGGGCAGCACCGGCAGCAGCAGGGAGGCGAGTGCCAGCGCCCGCACCGCCGCCATCTCGCCGCCCCAGCCCCGCCGGGAAAGCTGAAGCGGAGCCGCGGCCGCGCACCGCCCCTGGCCCCGGGGGGGGGGGGGGGGGGGGAGCGGCTGCCGCCGGTTACGCGCCGCTCCGCACGCAGCCGCGGAAGGGCGGCCGGATCCTCGCCGGGCAAACCGGAGGCGGGGGGGGGGGGGGGGGGGGGGGGGGGAAGCTGCCGCCGTGACTCATTGGTACCGGGGCTGGGAGATGGGCGAAAGCCAGCCCGCGCAAAGGTGCCCCCCGACCCTCGGGGAGAACCAGGGGGGGGCTGCTGGGCGGGCATCACCCCCCCTGTTCTGCTGTTGCCAGAAAGCGGTAATTAATTCGCTCTCGAAGACTCAGTTTTGGAGGTTTAGAAAGCAGGCATGCCTTGTTACAGCGCACGGGGGAGAGCTCCTCCTAACGCGGGTGGGTCCAGGCAAAAACATCAACAAGCGTTTCTGCTGCCTTAATCAAACACGTTCGCAACTTTTCCAGGGACTCATTAGCAGATGTTAACATGCCCTCTGCGTGCCTGTTGGAGTCTTCAGGTGGCCGTCGGGGGTCTTTAGATGAAGGACCCTAGTCTTCTTCACTGTGTCTGCTGCTTTGTTACCAGAAAGAGGTAATTAATTCACTCTCGAAGACTCAATTTTTGAGTTTTAGAAAGCAGGCATTCTTTGTTACAGCGCCGGACGCACAGGGGGGACCTTCTAACATCTATGAAAATGAAATCAACAAGTATTTATACTACCTTAATCATACATATTGCATTTTTATCATTTTCATAACTTTTCTGGGAACTCATTTAGCATATGTTAACATCTCTTTCACATGTCTGTTGGAGTCTTCAGGTGGTCGTCGGCGTTCTTTAGATGAAGGCTCGTAGTCTTCTTCACTGCGTCCGCCAGTTGGCCATTACTTCTGCACAAACCCAGTCCTGTGGTCACATAGATCTTCTCCTTCAAGGCTGCTCTGGTCTGGTTTTGTTGCTAATTTGCAGCTTCCTTATCTTTCTGTTTCTTTGCACCTGCTACCACAAGGACAAACCGTCTCAAGTAAGATTATTTACGAGTTCCTTATCCTACAGTTATTCTAACTACTCCTCAATAGATTAGCGTTTGTTCTGCAGCACAGTGGTTAAAACAGCTTAAATTGACCTTAATAATTCTATTCCACAAATATCTATTTTCTAATATTCTTGGTTCAGAGGCATCACTGCCACCTGTGCCAGCACGGAAAGCAGCCCGGTGCCCCAAGGGAGAGACGTGCCCTGAGTGTCCCCAGGCCCACAGGGAGAGCTGGCCCTGCTCCGGGGAAGGTGCCGATAAGGGGGTGCTCTCCCTCCGAGCAGGAGGGAACAGCCCCCAGCCCGCTGCCCCCCGTTTCCTCACGGACCCACGGGCCTTTCGCCCCGGCTTTGGCAAGAGACGGGACCGCGTTCTCCCACAGGCCGTGGCCACTCTTTAACCAATAAACTCCTGCCCATCAGCACCGAAAAGAAACCCTCGCTAATTCAGTTAACGGAATTTATGATTTGGTGGCGCACCCTTCGCGCTGATGCCTCCAAATCCCCCCCCTCACAGGGCCTAAAGCCAGGGAGGGCCGCCCCTGACAGGGAGGGCTGGCGGGAGGGCTGCCGAGGGGGGTCGGCCCGCCTGCCCACCGCAGGGCACGCGCACGCAGGCGTACCCCGCTATATATCCGCGCCTATAGCTCGCTATAGGTACGCTGCCTCACGGGAGGGATGTTCCCGCCTGTAGCAATGCGCATGCGCGCCCACCTCCTCCACACATTTTCCCCCCCCCCTCCCGTTGAGTCCCTCCTCCTCCGCGGCGGCAGGGGGCGCTGCGGCGCGGGGGAAGGGCGGGCGGGGGCGCGGGCGCGCGGGCGCGCGGCCCTGCCCCCGGCGGCCATGGCCCTTCCCGGCATTCCCTATGAGCGGCGGCTGCTCATCATGGCGGACCCGAGAGACAAGGCGCTGCAGGATTACCGCAAGAAGCTGCTGGAGCACAAGGAGATCGACGGTCGCCTCAAAGAGCGTGAGCGCTGCTCCGCGGAGGGCGAGCGGGGCGCCGCTCTAGGGGTTCTGCCGCCGTTGCCGAGCGCTCGGGGAGCCCTGAGGGAGCCCCGCGGCCGCCCGCGCTTCGTCATGGGCCTGTGAGGGGAGGGCGGGCGGGCCTGGGCGCTGCCGGGCGCTGCCGGTCGCGGTGGCCGGGCTCGGCGTCGCGGTTTTCCTTGGCCGCGCCGCAGCCGGTTGTCTTTCCCTTGGGGAGAGCCCCGCGGGGCAGCCCGGGCCCTGGGGACCCCGCTTGCCTTGGGATGGGGGGGGTGGGACCGTCAGGCCCTGCCGCCTCCAAACCCCGGCCGGGAGTTTCTCTTTCTTCAGCCTTTCCCACCACAAGGTTTTTCTGTCAGCTTCTTGTTTTCCTGGTTTAAACATCCTCAGCTGTATCTCCCTGGCACTAGCGTGGCTTCCCATACAAATGTCAGTGCCCTACAGAGGCACTGATACCGATAGATTTGAGCTATTTAAATGTTGGATTGGGCTTTTAGGTGCCTCCTGCAGAGTGTTTTCACTAACAAGACGTGGCACTGCGTTGAGAGTGTGCAGCTGCTGGGTTTACAGGAGGGTGTGCTGATCTCCCACGGTTTAGCTCTGCATGCTGCTTTTCTGCTGTAAAACGGCCTGCTCCTGAGTTACTGTTGAATGGAGCATTAGCAAAATCTTGTGTTTCTTTCCTTTTCTAGTAAGGGAGCAGCTGAAAGAGCTAACCAAGCAATATGAAAAATCAGAAAATGATCTCAAGGCCTTGCAGAGTGTCGGGCAGGTACGTAAGAGAAACAACGTTTTAGCAGCCTGTGGCAGTGGTTGACAGCCTGGAAGTAGTGTTTAAGTCCATTTTTGGTATTGAGAAAGCATGAGAATGGTGTAGCTAACAGAAACGGGAGCCTGACCATCGGGAACAGACGCACCAAGCGTATGAGTTAGAGAGGCTTTTTGTGTTTGTCCTGGTTAAGAGAGACATGTTAAGGAAAGAAGAGTGCTGGCAAACAGCGTGAAGCAACAGAAAGCATTTCAAAGCTGACAAGTCAGCTGCCATCTACTGAAACACATCTTAAATGTTGATTTGTAATGGTAGTTTCTCTGTAGGCTAATACTCCATTTATTCCCTTGCAGATTGTTGGCGAGGTTCTTAAACAACTAACAGAAGAGAAATGTAAGTACACTGGACTGTTACATTCTCTGAGATACTGAAAAAAAGCTTTTGTAGTTAAAATCTGGGTAAAGATATGGAGGAGTAAAGAATTGGAGTATTGGTAATCCGAGTATTGGCAAAAAAATACAATATACCGGATAGTTCAGAAGCATAATTCAGAGCAGTGAACCGAGTAAATTGTTTTTGTTTTTGTTTTTTCTTTTATCTTTTCTCTCCAGTCATTGTGAAGGCTACAAATGGACCAAGATATGTGGTTGGCTGTCGCCGTCAGGTAGCTGATTTACGTGAAAGTTTGCTTTGGTCTTGAATATTGACATTGCTTTTCATAAACTGGGTCCTTAGTGGGATTAAGTATTTTCTTCTTTAAGGTGTATATGGCTATTTTATACTGATACCTGCTTGCCATCTCCCTTCCTAGCTGGTAGTAGTGTAACATCTAGTAAAGACAAAGCAGTCCAGAACATTCCTGGAGCTTTACCTGTGTTTTGATTCTTTTCACTGGGTTGAAGCTCTGTGTTTCTGCCTGATATTGAACTCTCTGAAAATTTATCATCGCTATGAAAATGAATCAGCTGTGTAAGGTCTCTGTTGCTGTGTTGTGAACACAGCATATGACCATTACTGTCATAGTGCTGAGCTTTAGTTTCAATGTTATATAAATATTATGTATTTTTTTTCTAATGCTTTTACACTCCACTTCAATAAATAATTATGGTAGGCAACGCCCTTGAGGGATTTTTATTTGTCCATAATGATCTTTAAAAAAGCCTTGTCACTTTTAGTCTAGGAGACAACAGGTTTTTTTTACCTACACCAAATTCTGTGGAAGTTAGACACTTCAATACAGAATAATCCCTTTTCTGCTATAGTCAGCAAGAACCACTTGGAGGTACTCTTCTCGTTTTTATACAAAAAATATAAAGAATGTAGTGCAGACGTGGTTTAAAAACTGCATGTTGGTGAATTGAGCACTGAATGTGATCCACTTACAGTAATTAAAACCCATAGATTGGCTGTTCCTTACCAAAGCTGCCTCTTAAGTAGGAACCACAGTACTTAGTGAAAATGTTCTGCAACTGCAGAGACATTGGGGAGCAAAAGTAAATCTCCAGTTGGATTTCATTACATGCATCCGTGATTTAGACAAATGGAAGGAAAGAAGATTATTTATAAAATGTGAAACTGTGTGGTATCTTTGAAGAGAGAATAGCGACCCCAGGGAAGGACTGAGTATCCTGAGAAGGCAGCAGCATTTTACTGAGTTATTTTAATGCAGGAATAAGTGTAAGATCTTTTAACAGCTGTGACCTCTCAATGCATCTTGAACTGATTCCTTTATGGTGGAGAAAAGTAACTGCAGTTGAGCTTGTAACACATCACATTTGTAGCATGTTCTTATATATATTGTGGAGGTTGTGAAAAACAGAAATTCCTTTGGTGAAAGGAGCACAGGTGTAATATTGATGTTAGAGGTGCATTTGTCTTTCTGAAGAGAAACTGATCATATTTGATGAGATTTGATACCAGAGACTGAAAAAAAAAAGCTAAAGCATATCCGTGATTGTTTTCAAAATGTCAAAATATTAAGGCAAATAATTTCCCATGGAGTGTTTCACAGACTAGAAGAACTAGCTTTTGATCATAGTCCCTGTGGCCATGCTGTGCTGCTGAGGACGGGGAGCAGTGCTGCTTAAATTGAAACAAAAGTTACTTCCCTATCTGAAGAGCATTTCCTAAGGAATTCAAGGTCAAGTGGTTTCTCTTTGTTTTCTTGCCACTGCAGAATAATTTAAATCTATTGGGTAATGTTGAATCTCAAGCTTTTACAGATCTCTTAAAATTAGGCAGCTAGAAAGAGGTCATATTAGTGACCCCAGTGAGGGAGGAGTGACAGCTTGATGCGGAACACTACTAGAGACTGGAGAGCCCACATGGGCAGAGAACCTCATAAATCCCTCCCAGCGGGGGCGATGGGAGGCTTCAGGCAGTGCTTGCAAACAGTTGTCAAAATCCCTGTTGTTCAGATGCCATGTTGGTAAAGCTCAGAATAAATAGGTTTCATATTCTTCAAGTGAGGATTGAGTACCTCAAGAAGAAGTTAGAGTGGCGAGGTCATATCTGTGTTGGTTGCTCAAGGTTGTATTGTGTGAGAGGTGAGACTGCTCTCTTGTAAAAACAAGGTGAGAAACACCAGTTAGTTGTTTTAATCCCAGCTGAATTTAGCAGGGGGTACTGGAATAGGACTGCTAATGTGGTTAAAAATCTCATCAAAATGGAGTAAGCAGACAAAAACTGCTGAGGGATCTGAGGTGAATGATAGCAAAAGAGTAACAACTGGAATGGCTGGCTTTGAAGATGGGATATAACTGGAAATGTGAAAATGTGCAAATGATGGAAGGCTTGGAGAAAATAGGGTGGGAACATCTGTTCACTGCTTCTGTCGGTCCAGAAATTAAAAAGCCATTGAGTAGAAGGGTGGCACGGTTGTACTCAAACTCTTAGGCTGTTCCTCCTGTCCTTAAAGGAGGATTGCTTCCTTGTTCTGAAATAGCTGGGTTTGTCCTGTGTCGAGCAGAGGGCAGGATTAGATCTCTCACTAATCCAATCAGATTGACAGCAGTAACAAAAAAAAAAAAAAAAATTAGTCTAGAAATAGTATATATTTGCAAAAGTGGTAGAGGTATGTTAATGACTTGCTGTTCAAGCTCTATTTCAGTGTTAACAAAAATTCTTCCTGTGGTCTGGTTTAGCTTTGCTGATGTCCAGTTGTGACAACAGCAGGTTCATTGGACTAGGCCAGCTCTTGGATCACTTCTCCCAAAGATCCCGTGAAACAGTGAGCCAGCTCTTTCCCAGTTTAAGCATTCCCAAAAATGGTGGTGACGGGGCCACAGCGTTTACTAAATGAGCTGTTTGACATGTAGCTCAGTAGCCTTGTTTTCCTCTTGTGTACTATTGAGTAAAGAGTGCAAGCTACAGTCAACATCTTAGCTAAAACCAGACATTGCTTTGGAGTGTGGTTCTAATAAAAATGCCTTCTTTGTGACTAGCTTGACAAAAGTAAGCTGAAGCCGGGGACAAGAGTTGCTCTGGATATGACCACTCTGACTATTATGAGGTAGGTTTCAGCTCTACAGCTGCTCTTCTGCTTATCTCATAAAGGGGCAAAACAGTGATCCGAGTAGATTGCACAAATGTTTGAATCATCAGTTCTGTAATATTGTGTAAATGTTTTCTGCAAAGCAGTGCTTGAGGACAGTTACTTTTAGGGCAGATTTATGTGCCTGTTATATAAGGTTTAAAGAAATTGGTTGTTCTTTAAAAAAAGTAATTCAGTTACAACTCATTTTCCACAGTTTTAAGTTTTTGTTTGGTTTAAAACTTGAAAAAGTTTGCTGGGTTTGGGTTTTTTTCTGTTTTTTTTTTTTTTTTTCGGCAAACACACTTGTCTTGTTATCAAGGTGGGAGAAGAGGAAATAATTTTCATGGTTACCCTAAAATTTACTGCAGTAACTTTATAAATGTGTCTACTCTTAACTCTTTATTCCAGATATTTGCCAAGGGAAGTGGATCCATTGGTTTATAATATGTCTCATGAAGATCCGGGGGATGTTTCATATTCTGAGATTGGAGGGTTGTCAGAACAAATCAGAGAGCTGCGAGAGGTATCCAGTATCTCAAAAACATTTATCAAATTATGGGATGTATTCTGAGTGAAGTTTTTCAGCAGAAACATGTCTTACTGATGTTTATTCTAAACTGTCATGAGACAGGATGTTAGAGGATCCTATCAGATTAGGGCTTTCCATGTTTCATTAATTTAAGCCACATTTTCATCAGAAGAGAACTTCTGAAGTGTTGTTTAAATGTTTTGCAGCTTTGTAATGGTCTTTGTGGCAAACAGCAGCGTGATTGCGGGCTGCTGGTGCACTGCTACTGAAGTAATCCTGTTAGTTTGGGCATCAGTGCTGCAGGCTGTGCAAGCCTGCCCAGGAATGCGGGTGTCTGAAGACGAGCTCGTGCTGCTGTGAGCCAGCTGACTGCAACAGGGATTGTTTGTATGCTGTGCACACGCCTTGCAGTAGCAGAGAAAGATTATTCTAAACACCGAAGCCCAATTCTCAGACTGGTTATATTTTATCTCTACTGTTACAGAAGCTTGGATGGAGATTTAAATGAAGAAAATCCTCTAAAGAGGAGGGTTTGAAGGATCGGAGACCCTTTAGGCTATGGAATGCCACAAAGTCAAGTGGGAGGGCATAGTTAGGATTGACAACCAGCAAACCAAACTTGAATTTTGCACAAAAACTGCAAAGATCTCTCTGGGTGGTGGTGCTATGATGGTAACAAAACATGGTTTGAGTAAAGAGCATAAGAGAAACAAGCCATTGCAGAGCTGAAGCCTGAACGAGGGCGGGACTGTGGATCAATCAATTAGATCAGTCTCTCATTTTCTTACTGAACAGTTTCTCATACAAAATATGCTGCACAGAAAAGTAAGAATACAGGTATCTGGAAAGCAGGTTGGCAAGTATACGATTGGCTTCCTGGGATTGCTGATCTATTTTAAAACTCAAAGAGTCTCAGTTTGTTTGTCTGCCTCTTCACAGGTAATAGAATTGCCACTAACAAACCCAGAATTATTCCAGCGTGTGGGAATTATACCTCCAAAAGGCTGCTTGCTCTACGGCCCCCCTGGTGAGTCTCACAAAAGGGTAATGAATGCTTAGGTGTCACACGCAAACTGTGGCAATAGCCTTGTTTGTTTGTTTCTTTGGGTTTTTTTTGTTTGGTTTGTTTGTCGTTAGCATGCAATGTTGGGTTACTAGTTAAACAGCCTCAGTCTGTTGTCTGTCCAGGTACAGGGAAAACTCTTCTGGCCAGAGCTGTTGCTAGCCAACTTGATTGCAACTTCCTAAAGGTAGTGTAATTTTACTCTTGCACTCACACACATGCACACGTGCTTAATCTGTTTGCGCTCCAGTCTCTTCATTTACGTGTCTTTTGCCTTTCAAAAGGTGGTGTCGAGTTCAATAGTGGACAAGTACATTGGTGAAAGTGCTCGACTGATCAGAGAGATGTTCAATTATGCCAGAGATCATCAGCCGTGTATCATTTTCATGGATGAGATAGATGCTATTGGTAAGGCTTATGGTGTGGAGGATGGCTAGAGTCTCATTTTAACACTGAAATTAGCTATAAAGCCACAGTCCGTCTTCTCAAAAAAGTGTGCGTGATGTTTGTTTAGAAGAAACATAATGAGACAAGTGGTTCAGCTTCCTCCTGGAACTATTATAGCTAGCTTAGAGCCATACCTATTTGTATCTTGCTTGGATATTTTTGACTATATGAAAAAGCATTTTGAAAAGGTGTGTGTTTAACTCCGAAAATACCACTCCTCCTTCCCCCCAGTTTAAAAGGGATACCTAATTGTCTTCAGACTTAGTAGTATCTGGAGGCAAAAATAAAGAACTATAACTTAAGAGTTTGGTATGCCACAGGTGGTCGCCGTTTTTCTGAAGGCACCTCAGCTGATAGAGAAATCCAGAGGACTCTGATGGAGGTGAGTGTCTAGTCTCTGACTATGTACCGTACAGTCCACATTAAATAATAACACAGATGTGAATTGTTACACTGTTCTGGCTTGGTAGAACTTTTTCTGAGTTAATAATATTAAGCTACAGGTGAACGAGATGCTACTTTTACAAAAGACAGCTGCACATCCTGATAACTCAGCCATGAATTCAACTTGGAGACTAACTGAAAATCATTGCTAAAATTATTTGGGATACTTTCTCTTCTTACTGTGACTTGAGTTTGCTGCTGCTTACTGCATCTTCTTTGAAGGTTTGGAGGGCCCCTCCCTCCTAAAAAAGGGAAAGCGGAGCTTGTCTCTCTCGGTTCCAAAGACACTTAACTCTAAAATTTTAGAACTGTGTTACAGCTTGATTTTCAAAGCTAGGAGGAGAAGTAGTTGTATTTTGTTGTTTCAGTACTAATTGCTTTGGTAAACTGGGTTATGTGAAGAGAATTTTAAAACAACTGGTGACAATTAAGAATTCTGAAGTTAATGGGAAACTTCATTGGCATATGTTTGCAAACAGTTTGTCCGGTTCAAAAGAATGTGTCTGCCTTACATAAAGAATTAAATGACCGTGATCAAAGAGCAAGCACTTTGAATCTTCACAATGAAATGTCTTCGTATGTGTGTATTAGTATTCTAGAGGCTGTTCTCCAAATCTAATTTGAATGTCCTGGACTTAGTGCGATACACTCAAAATGTGTCAGCCAACCGTTGGCTCCTTTAGTACTTGCACTGTTTTCATTCCCCTATTGTTTTAGCCATGTCTTTCACTTTCGGGCTCTGCTTTGCTCAAGATCTTTTTCTCTGGGCAAAGAATTTTCAGTGACTCTCTTAAGATCTTCTTTATTGCTTATAGAATATGCAAGGAGCTCATGGCCTTTCATTAGAAGGCTTGTAGCATTTTTTTTTTTTTTTCTGATTTATCTTTGCTGCTTTTACATCTTAATAAGAAAAGGCAGAAAATAAGTACAATAGATCACATTAGGAAGGTTTTGGGTTGTTTAAAAGCAAACTTCTGTTTTCTATTAGTTATTGAATCAGATGGATGGATTCGATACTCTGCACCGAGTTAAAATGATCATGGCTACTAACAGACCAGACACTCTGGATCCTGCACTTCTGCGGCCTGGAAGACTGGATAGAAAAATCCGTGAGTTACTACTTCACAGTGGCTAGAAGTAGGATATTATCCATATAACCTGTGGTTTTCTGCTTTTAATAAAGCTGTGATTCTTTCTAGATATTGATCTACCAAATGAACAAGCCAGATTAGATATTTTGAAGATTCATGCAGGTCCTATCACTAAACATGGTGAAATAGGTAAGTAGGAAGCTGCCTGGATATCTTCCTACTCCTGTTTGTAAAAATGTGGAGAGGGTGAGTTATGATGACTACCCTTCTAATTCCTACCCTTACACTGGCAACACTACTTCTCCTTGGAATTCTACTTTTTTTTTTTTTTTTAATTGCATCCTGATTGAGCTGTTGCTAAGCCTTCCTTTGCAAAGGAAAACTGAATATAAACCCTTGGAGCAGAGTTATAAACTGGAAAATCAACATGATTCTCATCAGGTAGTTTTCTGTTTCTAAAGGAATAGCTCAATGCAAGTAAGCAGCATTTTTGTTAATCCCCCTCCAAAGAAAGAAAAATTCTTACTGCAGAAGACTGAAAACAATAGAGAATCCTTAAAAGTCATGGAGGAGTTACTTTGGAGTTTGGAGATGATGTAATGGAAACCTTATTGTCTGAAACAAAGCTTGTCTTTGCTTGGTGGTGTAGATTGCTCTCTGCAGAGCATGAGGGGCAGAAGTATCTCTCAGGTAAAATGGGGAAGTTTTATTCAATGACTGTGTTACTCTGAGCTGACCACAGTCATAGCTTCTCAGTGACCCTTCGGAGCTTTCCTCAAGAAAACTGTAATTGTGTTTTGCCTTTAAAACGGCGTCGGCTGCCTTTTATTTCAGTCAGCCCCACAGACTCTGCCTGCCTGTTCCCCGCCTCTCTGCTGACACGAGCTATTCATGCAGCCAGGCAGCGCAGTCTGGACAGTGGAACTGATCTCGTTCACCATCTGGCTGCGTAAACAGCTGCAGCTCAGCAGAGGGGGTGGCTGGGGGGAGGGCAACAGGCATGAGGATTGCCTTCTTAGCAGCAGTGTTGGCTTAAACATGCATGCATGCGACTGTAGTCTGAGAGAAGAAGCTCCAAAGCAAATTACGAACCTGAGGAAAAGCACTTCATCCTTTTTCCTGTATCTTCGGGCACTAGATTGGAAGCAGGGTGGGATTATTCCCTCACACCAATTAGCAAGGTGAGATGTCAGCTAATGAGCTAAATTTCTGAGCATGATGTGGGAAGACTGTGATGCTGAGCTGAGATCCTGAAAGGAAGGCCAGAACATACTGGCAAGGTGGGGTGTGAATTGCATTAAAATCTGAAGATAACGACCTGTTCCAGTGTGGGATTCTCCTGCTCTAGTACTGGTGTCTGCTGAAGGCTCTAAACTTACAAACCTTGCAGTGTTTGACACTGCTTAGTCCCCTCACTTACTGTTTTTTGACTGTCCAGTTATGGGAAGGCTTGTTTATAAGACACTGTGCTACACGGAATTAAAATACAGTTGAAGAATTTCTTGTCTCTAGAGGCTTTTGGCTTCTTAAGATAAAAATGTGCAGTGTAAATGTTTTTGAATTTCATACAGAAGGTAAAATGTTTTGAAAAGTTTTGCAGAAAGTTGTTTTTAATAGCAGCCTTGCTAAAATCAGAACTTGCTGGAGGCTCAACAGACAGTATTTTAGAAATTGATTCTAGAAACTATAACCATAGTCACTTTTTTAGTAAATATATGTGCATAAATTATCAGGCTTAATATATCAAAGCATTAAATGCCTTTAGTGGATGTTATAAGCAGAAAGGGAGTTAGTTATGATCACTTGGAGATAAGTTTTATGGTTTTTTGCATCATTTAAATAAGAACATTGCCTTGATGTAGCTTTTCTTGCATTTCATGTTGATGCTTGTAACCACAAGTTAGTAACTTTGGGATTTAATTATATAATATGAGCTTTTGGCTGCAATACACTTCTGTTTTAATGAAAGGGGTAATACAGCTGATGATTTCAGTGAATGCATCAGGCTAGTGGACAGCTATCTACTTGCACTAAAAGTGTTTCTTGTGTTAGCTGGATATATATTTTGTTGGCACCCATAGTGGGAAGCATGAATTTATTTCTAATTGGCATTCGTGTTTTATGAACAGATTATGAAGCAATTGTGAAGCTTTCAGATGGCTTTAATGGAGCAGACTTGAGAAATGTCTGTACTGAAGCAGGTATTTTCTTAACTCTTAATTTTGATATGCTAAGTCTTGGTTAATGCTAAACATTTGAGCTGTTTCTCCAGTACTTCTGCCAGTGGATTAAAATCAAGAGGTCTGCTGGAACAGAATGCTTGCTTGCTGATGCTCACTTTTTGTGTTCCTTTCTTAAGGACCCTACTTAAAGGAAATGTCAGCATCTAGACAGTACTAAAATGACAAAACAGTTGCGCATTTCACAGCATGTCACATGTGGGAACTGTTGAGCGTAAGCCGCAGCGTGGTGATATGCCCTGGAGCTTTGATAGAACAACTGGAACAAAATCTTTCTTTCTTCCATGTTTCCCTCTGACCTATACAGTCATGCAGAACTTGATTCTTTACATCCTCCCTCTAAGGTTACAGACAAGTCTCTTATCAGGCCTGCAGATAAAGCAGCTGGACGTTCCACCAGTCCAGCTGATAGGTGAAGGTCTCCTGCCAGTTAGGAGCAGCAGCACTGCGTTCGTGTGACGTTACGCCTGCTGATATCCCCTGCTGCACGCAGGCTGGACCCGCAGGGGGTTAGGTGGATTTGGGCACTATCCTGGGACACGCGTGGTATGAAAACTCTGGAGTTTGGGTTCAGCATGATGGGAGGGGGAAACCAGCATTAGAATGAGTAACACAGTAAATACACACTTGTAGTTTAGAACAAGTTATACATTTCCTGGTGATCACCTAGTTCAGAAAGGCGACCTTGTTGAAATTTACTCCTCTTCCCAACACGCAAGACCTGCATGTGAAAGTCTGCACACATGCAGACAGTGTAACGTGGATCCATTTTCACTAATTCGAGTGAAGCTTTATGTGCTGTCTCCTCTCTAAGGAGCACCAACTTATTCTTACTGCTAAATTATTCTTCACAGGTATGTTTGCGATCCGTGCCGATCATGACTTTGTAGTTCAGGAAGACTTCATGAAAGCTGTTAGAAAAGTGGCTGATTCTAAGAAGCTGGAGTCCAAGCTTGACTACAAGCCTGTTTAAGTTAACCGTCTCTGATTTGTGATTGACTGCACAGGTCTTACTGGGTTACTGTAAAAGAGAAATAATGTACCTCTTGATTATTATTGTAAGGTGTTTGTGTAACATGTAGCTAGTAATTTGGTAACACTAGTTGCAAGTTGGCTACAGAAATGTGTTTTCTGTACAATTCTGAAATACAATATTCATTACAACCCAGGTTAAGTAAAATGTGTGGAGATGTGTTCTCTTAAAAATTATGGTGTGAATTTATAAGTGTGCCTGAATGGTTTAGCAGACTTTAAGAAAGTCAATTTGTTTCTTGACTTTTTTTATATCAGTAAATTTCCTTTCCCCAAACAGTTTATGAATAAAACTTGTTTAAATCTGCTTATCCCAGTGTACCTTTTCTGTAACTCTTCAAGAGAGTTGAATTATGTTTCTTCAGTATTTGAAGAGCAACTTTTCTCTGGCGCAGAGATTGCATTGGAGTCCTATGACTTGCATACCAAATGGAGGCAACCTTTCCTTTGGAGGAGGGACAAGTGGTGGTTACTCCTTTGCTGCTGGAGTCTGGGAAGAGGATTTAACTGAGCTAGGATTTAATTATTACAAGAAGTAAGTCTTTTAAAATGCTTGCCATCTTCCCTTATGCTAGGATAACTTCTGTCCTGAATGCCAGTTACAGACAAAAGCATTTAAGTGGAGGTGGAGAAACAGATAGTTTTATATAAAAGTTTTGATTACAGCTTTTGAGGTGGTGGGGGAGATACGTGAGATGGATTTCCCTTCCAAGTTCCTCTTTCAGCTGTTCTATACAGATAGGAACTGTTGAGGATCATTTCAACCCCGGCATTTGCATTAGACAAGCAAAGTGGTGTCCCTAATACTTCTGGAGCTCTGAACAGGGCTTTGCTGTGCACCTTAGGAGGTTGGAATTCTGCCTTACGAGGGTTGCCTTTGTGCCTCCTGTTTGAGTAATCACTGAAACAGAAATAAAAATGTAGAGGCTAAGGTGTGGCTGTTCCTAAGGGCATCTGTCACTATGCCTTACTTTTGTTTTCTAATCAGTTCCACCCCAAGGGGGGTGTGTGTGGATCCACTGCCTGCACTGTGCAACTTCCCTCATGTTGGACTGGACCAGAAGTGTACTAGACTGTACTTCTGACTACTTCTAATTATCCTAATTGGATTACTCTGGGCATGCTCAGCTGATGGACAAGTATGTTAGATTAACTCTAGATTTACCAGCAAACACCATTTCACACCATCTCCCTCACAGTTTAAATAGCTGTGGTTGTATTTTTTTCTCTATCCCTAAGAGACAAACCAGGAAGCATAAGGTGTAAAATAGTTATAACAGGACAAGCAACAATATTTTCACATTTATATGGCTAGCAGTTGTTACGGACCTTTTTTCTGGTTAGTATGAAAACTTCCTGTCGTGATTGTGTCCTGAGTGTAAAGATGCAAATGTTAGTTTTAGTTCCCTGTAATGCCCTTCTGAGTGCAGCCTGTATAGAGTGCTTGGAACACAGAAAATTCTATAAAAGTCAGTTTCGGAGCACTATGGTGATGTAAACAGTGAGCTGAGCTTCTGGCATTACCTTGGAGAAGGGTAGAAACTTGCGAACTTTTCCTGAAGCCCTGGGTGTGATTATAGCTCATTTTTGAGGTTCAGACCATAAGTAAAGGCTACTGACCCCTGCTCCTGCTCTCAGTACCAGCTGGAGGTGGGAGCCACAGTTTTACTGTTGCTTTCTCCTTTGCCGTTTTGGTTTTCATCTTTCACTGAAATTGCAGTTGCTGAAGGAATGGTTGCTGAAACGTGGTTGTCAAAGGTTTCTCACGGGTGAAATGAGCAAAACGTTTAAATAGTTTGGGGTGGTATCTTGGAAGTCCAGCAGAGCGTGGAACCAGGGAACCTCAAAAAGTGGAAAAAGAGGTTCCTGCCCCAGGACTGGCCCACAAGAGGCGTCTCCCACACACAAAGCGGACGTGTTTGTGGAGTCAGTTAAAACTTGAGGTGCCTTTCCGCCGACGGATAAACGACCATCTCGCTGAAACGGGAGCGTTTTGATCCGTGTGTGAGGAGAAAGAGGTGCTGTCAGGGCGAGGAGAAGGCGGTGAGACGGCAGGGCCTGGTGGGGAGCCTTGACGGCCGCAACATGGCGGCGCATGAGGCGCTTTGGGCCTCTGCGGCAGCTGGGCAAGCTGGCCCTCCGCGGCGGCGAAAAGGGCCTGTTTGAAGGCGTTTTAATTAAGTTTGCGGGGCCTGTGTGTGTGTGTGTTAATTAACGAATCTGGGGAGCGGCCCGTGAGGGGGAACGGCGCGCGCGCCCGGCGCCCCGGTTGGCGCCTCCCGGCGGCGGGCGCGCGCGCCGGGGCCCCGCCCCTCGGGCCGTTGGTGGGGGGGGGGGGGGGGGCGGGGCCGTTAGGGCGGGGCGGGGGGCGGAGGCGCCGCCGCCGCTGGAGCGGAGCCCGGGGGCGGGAGGAAGAGGAGGGGGGGGGAGCGGCGGCGGCGGCGAGAGGAGGAGGAGGAGGAGGAGGAGGAGGAGGAGGAGGGAAGAGGCAGCAGCAGCAGTAGCAGTAGCAGTAGCAGCATGGCGGCCGGGCGCGAGCGGCTGAGCGCGCCGCCGCCGCCTCCTCCGCCTCCTCCCGCCGCCGCCGCCGCCGCCGCCGCTCCTCCCGAGCCGGAGCCCGCGGGCCCGCTGCCCAAATAGCCGCCCTGCCCGGTCCTGCCCCGCCCGGAGAGAGCCCGGCCATGGAGCTCGCCAAGCCGGCCTTCCCCGCGCTGCCGCAGGCCAAAGAGGACTCTGAGGTGAGCGGCGAGGGGCCGGGGGTGTGTGTGAGGGGGAACCCCGCTGCCGGGGGCCGCCGCTCCGGCCCCCGCCTGAGGGGAGAGCTCGTCGGCCTTGTGCCCCCCCCCGGGCTCCCCACGCTCCCGTTCCCCCACTCCCGGCGCAGGCCTCTCTGCCCGCCCCCGCGGGTCCCCCGCCCCGGGCCGCAGGGCTCTGTGTCACCCCCCTTGGGACCACCGACCCCATCCTCCGGTCCTTCCCTTCGCCCACCGCTCCCCGCCGTCTCCGCTGCCCTCACAGACCCCCTTCCCTCCCGCATCGCCCCTCCTGGCTCCCCCCCCGGCCTTTCCCGCCTCGGGGCTGGCAGCCAGCCCTGCCTGCTGAGGAGAGGGGTCCCTGCTTTCACAGAACGCACCCCCCCCCCCCCCCCTCGGCTTTTCCCCGCGGATAGCGGCCCCCCGCTCGGCTTGCTGACCCTGGTGTCCCCTCTTCTGTGCTTCAGCGGGTCGCAGCCTGCCTGTTAGCCGCTTTTTGGCTTTCCGCTGCCTGTTCACTTCTCCCTTTGTATGGTCACCACTCCTGTCCTCCATCTGCTAGCTGGCTGCCTGCTTGCCCCTTTTTTTGTAGATGGAGAAAGGTAACGAGCTGCTAGCAGCGAGTACCTGCGTGTCCCCTTCCAAACAGTAACTCTTAGATACTCAAGAAACAATTTGGCGCACTGGTGAGTCTCCTGGGGAGGCGTTTTTACGGTTTGCCAAGGCTTCTCTGCAAACTAAGACAGGTGGCAATATCTGCTAAGACTAAACTGCACCCTGCGTGGTGTCAGAGGAGCCGGGTCAGCGTGGTGTCTGATTTCTGAGCTTGGCTTAGGTTCTCGCTTCTGACCCTGGATACTGGTGGGGTGTTTTCATGTGTCACAAGCAGCCCTAAGTGTCCCGCTTTGATAGAGTCAGATATTTAATGCAAAATGTCACAGTGTTTGTGTGGGAAGTTGATAGTATCTGAGCTCTTCAGAGGTGTATAGATCGCTGCATATTTCATAACATCAGCATTTATTTCTGTTTTAATGGAGTTATTATTGAATGCTGTTATTGTGGTAAGTTATCTGAAGTATGGAAGTTACACTGTTTTTTACTTTTCTGTTTTTGTTGTCAAGATTTACTGCCCTCTTCACTTCAGGGCTATGGAGGTGTTTACAAGTCATCTTAGTTGTTTTCAGAAAGCTGTTATCAGTTTGTATCTGAACACAAATTATGTATCACCCTGTGAGGTTTATAGTTTCTTTGTTTTTAAATATCTTTTCTTTTTGGAGAAACCAATCATACTATCTACAGTCACTTCTGAAAATAGCTAAGTAAATTAGCCTGGATGGGTTTTTGAACCTGTTTATAACTAGAATGGCTAAAACAGCGTGTGCAGTTAAAATAGTTTTAAAAACAGAGGTCGCTGCCAGTCTAACAACTCTTAGCTGATAAAAACTGAAATTATAATATAGTGTCCTTCAGAGTAGATTTTATTTTTTTGCTTTTTTTCATGCTCTATCTCTCAATAGTATAATATGTAGAATGTTAGAACACGTTACAAGACCATAGCAGAGAATTTCAAGGACTGTTTTTAAAAACTGTAAGTTAATTCTTTTCCAACACCTTACATTTGTGTCTGACTTGATCTAACTACACTATAGTTGGAGTATTTGGGGGAAGACAAAAAAGTTAAAGCCAGTGTGAGAATGTCAAGAATTCTTGTGGAGCTAACTTGTTAAGCAAAGCATAAGAGACTTCAGCCTTGGGCATTCAGCCCAATCCTTAGGAAGATGCTTTGGAAAAGCAAACTAAACTAAAATCATTCTGCCCACAAAATGTAGTTATTTGTAGAAAGCTGAAGATCATCTCTTGTGTATTGCAGTGAGGAGGTTCTTTAGTGAGGAGTACTCTCTAATATTATTTCAGGAAGTTGGTTATGTATGGTTTAATGCTGTCGGCAAATTATTGGAGGTCACGAGGGGGAGAGGGGACGAAAGAGAATTTGGGGAATCCCTGGTTTACTTCCTGATGTAGGCCGCTCAGGAGTAAGCGCAACTTTGTGGTCATTTTAAGGCAATCTAACTGCTACCCACCAGCCATCTTTTCCCCGCTGACACTAGTAACCGTGTGACAGCTTAAAAAATAACAATAATACAAAAAAAAAAAAGCCAAATTGGTGAGCTGATCTGGTTGATTGCACAGCTTCACACTCCCTATTGGCCCAAGGAAAAGTCAGAGAGTGGGCAAGGCTGCCTGTTGAGGGGTGACGGCAGCTTGGGGTTGGATTGACTTAGGCAGACTGCAGAAATGTACTCTAGATATATAAGTAGGTTTTCTGGCCTGTAGATTGATTGCGATGTCCCTAATCCATATGTAGTATTACAAATTGTTGGATTTTTAAACTGCTTGGCTATTGGTACTTTTTGGAGCATGTGAAATGCCATGTTAAGAAGCACTGGGGGTATTTACCTGCTGGAGAGAGTCGTGCTGCCTTTGTGTTCCCAACCTGATACCCTCTCAGCAGCTGACGGACCAGAAGTTTGTTCTAAGTACCCTTAGTGATACTTTTT